GACCTTACCCATGCACTGGGTCTCTAGTCTATATATATAAAAGCCCAAGTGACCGTTACGACTGGTTGACTGAATGATTGGTCAACTGGTTACTATATGTGCACTGACCACCAGGGGGCAGACTCTCAATACAGGAGCTGCCCCCTAGTGGTCAGTGCGCTCCCACAGCCAATCTCCCTGAGCCAGCCAACCTCCCGCGGTCCCTTGCCCCTGCCGGCCAGCCCGGATGGGCCCCTATAGGGACTGGGTGAGGTGGCCCTGATTGCCCCGATCTTCGGGCAGGCCAAGGGACCCCACCCGTGCATGAATTCATGCACAGAGCCTCTAGTTCCTGAATAAGGCATTGTTATCATTCATGGGTGTTATTGCCCCATGTAGACCTTCTAGTGGGACAAAATGTACAGACATTGATATTGATGACCCTGACCCTGTGTGTGTTTGTGTCTTAGTTTTCACAAAAAACTTAAAAAAGTTAAAAAAATTAAAAATGGGAAAATGCTTATAGAATAAGGATATAAAGAGACTAATTTTGTACAGCTATACAGAGTATTTGTGTTCTAAGCTAAAATTTCATTATGAATTGAAACATTAAACAAATTACAAAGTAGAAAAGTTAAAGCAACCTGTTAATTTATTATTGAAGAAAAAATGTTTTACACATTAGTGTTACCCAAGGTACCGTGTTTATAAAGTCTATTGTAGCATACAGTAATGTCCTAGGCCTTCACATTCACTCACTGCTCACTCACTGTTTTCACTCAGAACAACTTCCAAACCTGCAAGCTCCATCTATGTGTTACTGTAAGAAACATTCAAACTTGTAAAGAATTTTTGTGAGTTTATTTGAGCTAAACTATCAACAATTGCCAGGAAGCAGCATCTCAATATATTGAGGTAATGCTCCAGAGAATGGCAGTTTTCACCTTATTTTATACATTACAATCAAAAGAAGAGACATAAATGGGTTATATAAAATCCATTGGTGATAGATTAGGGAGGTGTGAGAAAGCAAAGAGGGGAGAACCTCAGATTGGGTAAAAAGTAAAATGATAGACACTTGCTTCTTTTACAGAGGTGGGTACAGAATAGTTAACAGTCAACAATTAACATGGTCATAATAACAATGAGGAAATTTGTGGTCTGCACCCTGGTGCCATTTGTTGTGCCCCGAGGGGTCCAGAAAAAGGGAAATTGCAAGTTACTCTGACAGTCTACAGCAAGCATGTCAAACTCAAAGGCTAACATGGGCCAAATAAACAAGGTTTAAGTTTATGTGGGCCGCAAAAAAACAAAAGCTTCAATTTTCATAGAAACATAGGTTTATTTCGATAGAGACATGCTGAATACAAAGGGCTGAAACAAATGAGTAATCATTAACATAAAATAATAGAAAATTTTAATAAAAATTAATATTTTTTCTTGAACATTAACTTACCAGACACTGAATAACCTGCACAAATTATTAAGCGTAATGCAAATAAACCAATTTTTCTTGTTCTCTGAAAGCAAAATATTTCCTGTTGCGCACACCAAACAAGTCAGCCCAAGACTAATGACGTGGCAATTGGCTGCTAAAACATTCCCTGCTGGTATTAGTGGAGAGAAATGCGCGTAAGGCCTGTAAGGGAAATGAATGCAACAGGATTATAGTAATCAGTTCTTAGCGAATTTTGTAGTTCGTTATTATGTAAAACAGATACTGTAAAAATTAAATGTAAAGTGGAAGCTGTTGAATCAGTATCACACTGAAGCCAAATGTGGGGTGTTGAGTCCAAGTTTGTTGTCTCTCGAAATCGAAGAATGAAATCGTGGACAAAAAATGGTTAATAGAACTGAAGTTTGAGAGAAGCCAGTCCTGGAAAAGGTGCAGCTGGGGTTCCAAGAGCAGCCCAGTGTCCCGAGATCCCTTTCCATGTTACAGTCAGGAGTAGTTCAGTATCCAAGCGAATTAAAGTCTATTAGTTCATGTATTGTACATGTCTTCTGCCACCAATCCAAGAATCTAGCACACAGGAGAGACAGAGAAGGAAGTGCACACACTTTTTTAGCATATATGCTTGTTAATTCTTGATTGGTCCTTTCAAATAATTTTGCCTTACCAAATCCTTGGGTTTGGTTTATACACCTAACTACCTTGTGATTAGTTATCTGCAAGCTGCTGGTTTTAGCAACATGCATACATTTTAAAGCTCATGTTGTAGGTGTGTGGACAGGAACAGCAGGCTACCCCAGGTAGGTTTGCGTTAAGTGCACTCTATGATGCCCTTGCTTCCCTACTCTGCCTAGTTTTACTTCCTCCCACCCCTGTGGTCCCTGTCCCTGTCCACCTAGCTTCCCTCTGTCTCCTCAACAGGGTTATCCAGAATAATGCGAAACAGTCAACACATGGTTTATCCTTTGTTCTTTCAGAGAATTAGAATTAGAATCTTTGAAGTTCTAGACTACTTTTGTTACAGGGCAGTGAAAAGCCAGGAAAATTCCATGGCAAGAGGTATGGGAAGCTGATACAAGAAAGTTAAAATAAGGCCGGACAGTGTGGGCTATTTGCAGCCAGCCTGTAAGTAACAAGCCATTATCTTCCCCAGCCAAGGGTACTTGAGAGCAAACAGTTAAAAGCCTTCCTAACAAAACAAAACAACACAAAAAAATGCAGGAAACAGGGAGGGGAAGGGGACTTTTTCTTACCCACTAAACAAAGAAATCAGCAGTTTGGGGGAAGGGGGAAGGAAAGAAAGGGCAGTTTTATTTATTTTTTTTACTCCCTACCAGAGAAGCCAGCAGTCTCAAGGCTTGGCAAGATAAAATTGCCAGGTACCTCTCATGAATTCTGGGAAGGCCACAGCAAAGTAAAAAGGGATCTTGAGAATTAATCTGTATCAAAATATTCCCCAGAGGAATTCTGAAAGAATAAATTTTGAAGAATAAATTTTGAAGTATAACTTAAACTGAAACCCAACTTATTCTTCAGATTAGCTGACAGCCCATTGGAGTAGTTTGTGCCAGATGATAGATTTGCTTGCCTTGCTTCTTTAATAAACTTGCTTGCTCGCTTTAATTGCTGTGATAACTTGGATTTACCACAACACAATCAAGGTCGCTCATTTAATTCACTTAGAGGAGCATGACAAGATCCTAGGTGGGAACAGCCCTTCCCCTCTTCTCAGGGTGCTGTCCCATAGCACCTTTTCTGGGGCCTGTGGGCTGCCTGTAACACTTTAGCCGAATACTATCAACTTAGTTGAACAAATAGAAACGGACAAAAATCAACAAGTCCAACATTCTTTGGCCAATCTAGCAAATGTAATCTATGTAATAAAACTTTCTTTCTTTTTTTTAAAATATGTTTTATTTTATTTTTTATTTTTTTACACAGAGAGGAAGGGAGAGGGATAGAGAGTTAGAAATATCGATGAGAGAGAAACATTGATCAGCTGCCTCCTGCACATCCCCCACTGGGGATATACCCGCAACCAAGGTACATGCCCTTGACCAGAATCAAACCTGGGACTCTTCAGTCCACAGGCTGATGCTCTATTCACTGAGCCAAACCAATTAGGGCTAAAACTTTCTTATAATAGAAAAATGTAACAGATTTTTCTTCAGTTTTTAGGCAGTTGCAAGTTTGCCACATGCAATTTAAGATGTTGTCGAGTTCATATTTCCTTGATTATGTCTATGAGATATAAGTTGCAAAAATCTCCACGAACAGGTTCCATAAATAGTCAATATTACTGGCTTTCTCATAAACCAAATTAATTTTGAACTCAAATACCCATGTCTAGGGCAGTGGAAAACTTCCGCCCAGTCCTTCAACTCTGACCTCCTCTGTAAATTGTATCTTCGCAGTGTAACACACACTGTGCCAATGTTCTCCGTAAGATTCAGGTTCACTCAAGTTGATGTAGATATCTGTTTCCTGTTTACATGCTCTCCCCGTACCAGCACATTTATTTTTAATCTCTTTCAGCAACAGAAATCACCTGTGAGGCCCCGACCTTTGTCTCCATCTGCTTAGGAACAATGAAATGTTCCTCTCATGCACCTATCAACTCCTCTTCCTTGAGGTGCTGCTGGTCGGCAGGGCAGAGGCTCCTTGGCTCTTAAAGCCCAAAGTCACCTCTCTGCTGCATTGCCTGAAGTGCTTCTTTTTAATTGTTGAGATCTGGCTTTCTTTCCTGCTTTGCCAGAACACAATCTCTACTCGGAGATTGCTCCCACCTGCCTTTTTAACATTTATATTCTTCTCAGGGTTTAGGATGTGTATGCCGGAAGCCGCTCCATCCTTGCTGCTTGACACAGTCGCTGCAGGGAAGAAACATCTGCACAGCATATGTTTCAAGGGACCTTGCATATATGGCATACTGTTCTTAATATGTTTACTCCCCTTCTTAGTGCTATGTGTTTTAAACAAGACCACCTCCCTGAGAAAGGTTGTTTCCCCAGGTGAGGATTTTTTCCCTGGAGTTAGGGAATAACAGGACTAAGGAAGAGAATAAATCAGTGAAACCCCCTAGTGTTACAGAAATACCATGTACTACTTACAAAGAACTTGGACTAAGACTGTTGGCAATAAATTTGGGACTTGTTGGGCCCACATCCCCAGGGGTCTGCCCACCAGGGAAAGCACCAAAGCCTATACCCCTGGAGACCCACCGACACAGGGCAGTCTCAGGGAAGGCAAGCAGCGGGGCTGGGAGGACATAACCCTTACTGGGTAGGATAATCTCCTTCAGTCACTTCCTTGTAGCTTATCAGGAGAGCAGTGACCTTGGAATAGCCCTTATAATAGAACACAGAGATTAACCTAGACAGGATTAAACTCAACAGAACTAGATTAACAAACGCCCTAACCTTTGGAATAGAATTGATAGGATTAAACTCAACAGAACTAGATTAACAAACGCCCTAACCTTTGGAATAGAATGGATAGGATTAAAATCAACTGGTATAAATACAGATGTAGAGATACGCTCCTTAGATCACTCCTTTCTGCTGGTGAACACTGCGGAGTAAGCATCCTTGGAATTTCCCCTGTTGCAGTCATCATGTCTAAGTCTGAGTCTCCCAAGGAGCCGGAGCAGCTGCGAAAGCTCTTTATCGGAGGTTTGAGCTTTGAAACAACCGATGAGAGTCTGAGGAGCCATTTTGAGCAATGGGGAACGCTCATGGACTGTGTGGTGATGAGAGATCCAAACACCAAGCGCTCCAGAGGCTTTGGGTTTGTCACCTATGCCACTGTGGAGGAAGTGGACGCAGCCATGAACGCGAGGCCACACAAGGTGGACGGAAGAGTGGTGGAACCAAAGAGGGCTGTCTCGAGGGAAGATTCTCAAAGACCTGGTGCCCACTTAACTGTGAAAAAGGTTTTTATTGGTGGTATTAAAGAAGACACTGAAGAACATCACCTAAGAGATTCTTTTGAACAGTATGGGAAAATAGAAGTGATTGAAATCGTGACTGACCGAGGCAGTGGCAAAAAGAGAGGCTTTGCTTTGTAACCTTTGACGACCATGACTCTGCAGACAAGACTGTCATTCAGAAATACCACACTGTGAATGGCCACAGCTGTGAAGTAAGGAAAGCTCTATCTAAGCAAGAGATGGCTAGTGCTTCATCCAGCCAAAGACGTCGAAGTGGTTCTGGAAACTTCAGAGGTGGTCGTGGAGGTGGTTTTGGTGGAAACGACAACTTTGGTCGTGCAGGAAACTTCAGTGGTCGAGGTGGCTTTGGTGGCAGCCGTGGTGGCGGTGGAGATGGTGGCAGTGGGGATGGCTATAATGGATTTGGTAATGATGGAAGAAATTTTGGAGGTGGTGGAAGCTACAATGATTTTGTCAATTACAACAATCAGTCTTCAAGTTTTGGGCCTATGAAAGGAGGAAACTTTGGAGGCAGAAGCTCTGGTCCTTATGGTGATGGAGGTCAGTACTTTGCCAAACCACGAAACCAAGGTGGCTATGGTGGTTCTAGCAGCAGCAGTAGCTATGGCAGTGGCAGAAGGTTTTAATTACTGCCAGGAAACAAAGCTTAGCAGGAGAGGAGAGCCAGAGAAGTGACAAGGAAGCTACATGTTACAACAGATTTGTGAACTCAGCCAAGCACAGTGGTGGCAGGGCCTAGCTGCTACAAAGAAGACATGTGTTAGACAATACTCATATGAATGGGCAAAAAAACTCGAGGACTGTATTTGTGACTAATTGTATAACAGGTTATTTTAGTTTCTGTTCTGTGGAAAGTGGAAAGCATTCTAACCAAGGGTTTTAATGTAGATTTTTTTTTTGCACCCATGCTGTTGATTGCTAAATGTAATAGTTTGATCATGACGCTGAATAAATGTGTCTTTTTTAAAATGTGCTGTGTAAAGTTAGTTTGCTCTGAAGCCATTTTGGTAAATTACCCCAACAGTGTGAAGCTAGAATTCCTTCAGGGTGATGCCAGGTTCCATTTGAAATTTATTTAGAAACTGCTTGGGCACAGAAGCCATTGTCTTTAGAATCTTTGGTGTAGTTGAATTGACAGTTACTGTGTTGTGACCTGGAGTTCACCATTAAAAGGGTCACCCAAGCAGAGTCATGGAGTTTATTTGGTTATTAATGATTGTTGGCACATCCTATGCAATATATCTAAATTGAATTATGGTACCAGATAAAATTATAGATGGATATGAAGCTTGTGTATCATCCATTATCATGGTAATCAATAAATGATTTACTATCCTCTTGAAAAAAATAAAATAAATACAAATGTAACAGGACAATAAAGACCTAACCTGGCTAGGCTGCTGATCAACTCCCTGTCATTCCTTCTTTGCCGACTCCATCCACACCTTTGGGAACCCCTGGATCTGCTGGGGTTGGACCCCAACATGTGTAAAACAAAATATTTAAGGCAACTTTTATATTCTATGCTGATACAAATTTTCTGAGACATAAATTGCTTGTTTCAGATCATTAAAAAGAAAAGAAATTGAAATAGATAATTTAAAAATGTTATAGTCCTGTTATAATCAAGTGTTACCTTCCCTAATGCTGTCAATACAATGTCATTCTCTAGTTGTGTGGCTTTAAAAATATGTAATACATGTTCCTTTGAGATGTTTTAACTTCAATGGCTTAAGTTTGTGTTTCTTTATTCCAGCAATAATATTACATTAGTTCCTGTAAAAGGTTCAAAGTAAGTATTTCTGAGGAGTTAGAAGGGATTAGGGCCTACTGTCAGAGGTGACACGCGAACTCATTTTTTTGGTTGATTTTTCTTTGTTAAATGGCATTTAAATATATAAAATAAATATCAAAAATATGTCTTTGTTTTACTATGGTTGCAAAGATCAAAAGATTTCTATATGTGACACAGTACCAGAGTTAAGTTAGGGTTTTTCAAAATGCTGACACGCCGAGCTCAAAAGGTTCGCCATCACTGGATTAGGCAATTTAGGGTAAGGGCCTTGGGGAGGGAAGATGATAGATAAAGAGAAAATAAACCAGATGGTCAGGATGTGACCAAGATAGGCTTTGCCACAAGTCAGTCTGGGGCTTGATCCTGTCCAAATGCTGTAGCTGCTCTCCACAGTTCTGGTTAAGATTTGTTGCAGTTCTCAGTTCGCCAAGCAAGAACAAAAAGACTTTCAACTCAGCCCTGAACTTCCAGGCCTGGCCAACAGCAATGTGGAGGACAATCCATTAGGTCTCAAAAACCCAGAGATGGCTCACACCCAATCATCACTTGATGAGTTTCAGAATACTGACCTTCGTACTCTGGGGACCAGTAATGAAGACACTCATCAAGACCCAAGATCCCCACAAGGACTCAAATTGCAGTACTGCAAATCACCAGAAACCCCTTGTGCTACTCCCCACCCACATTCCTTTTCCCTGATTCACCTATATAAGCTTTCTTCTAACAAGCTTAAGGGGAAGGTGAATGTTAGGGTTCTTACCATCGCCTTCCCAGATTTTTGGCATCTGATATTATTAAATGTATACCTGATACCATTTGAATTGACCCAGTTCTGAGTTAATTATCAGAAAAGGAGCAAAGGGAAAGCCAGATAATATGAGCATGCCATTCGTGCCAGAAAGCTGCAGTTTAACGCTGTCCAGTGCTGATTCCTGCAGACCAATGGGGGAAGGGACTGGACAAAGAAAGAATGGACACATGCCCTGTAAGGTCTGATGACCAAGGAAAGGTGATTACCTGTCAGTCATACCTGGAGCAGGTCATTGGCCAGAATAGGTGTGGCCACTTCAAGGACAGGAAATCTGAGATACACAAGCTCCTGAACAAAGGCCATACTTTATAGACAATTCCATTTTGTACTTCAATAATAATCTCCAAATTAACATCAGTATTCATAACATATAATTTCTGATTAGATATGTTGATATAAAACTATTTCTTACCAGCTATGTAACTTTGAGCACATTATATAGTTTTTAATGATTCCTTCTCTTTTCCTGTAATAAGGCTATGTTAATGGTCTTTAGTAATAGGTTGGTTGTGAAAATTAAATGAGTTATATAAAGTAAACTCAGAACAACGTATCAATTTATTTTAATAAATTGTAGCTATTATTTTTATTAGCAGACCTAACAATTTCTAGATTTAAGATATGCTTAATTTTGCAATGATTTCATGAAAACTCTTTCATTTGACCTTTCTCCTCCAATATTCCAGTTATCTATATCAACAAATTACAGTTTTATACTTGTTTTGCTAATACATCTGCCCACTGCAGAGGCCATTACAAATGATCCTGGTGATCAGAACTAATGCATGCTGTCTTAGAATACAAAAATAATCACAGAGAATCTAGAATAAGTCCCACCAGGTGAGATAATTAGACAAAGATGTCACCCTATTTTGAAGAAAAATTATTCTAGGAGCTGAGAAATAAAGTGGAATAAGAATTGTATTTTATCTTTTAAGAACTCCCAGGCTATTATAAGTCCTAGGCAGGATACAGAAGAAAGGGTAAAGGGCAGGAAACTTGCGGAGACTCCCTGAAATAGTTAGCTAGATCACAAGCACACCAAGGATGCATCCAAATCACTTGGGAAAGTTTGTTAAAATATAGATGACAGGACTCCATCTGCTGAGATTCTATTTCAGTAAGTCGGTGTTTAACAGGCTCTTCTGATGATCCTGAAGCACACTAAGATCTGTGCTCTACTGAGTAAGACTAGCAGAAGGAACAAAAGGAAGACCTAGATGTAGTCCTGTGGGCAGTCAGGACTAAAACTCAGATCCCTAGGTGTGAATGGCTGAGGGGGGAGGCTGTTCTTCTTTCTTTAATTTGCTTGATTACAATATTAGTTTTTATAATCTTACACATATTAACATGTTGGTTAATTGAAGACTATTAAACTTGGTTCGGTTAAAGTGACTATGAATCTATTCTCTCTCTCTCTCTTTCTTTCTCTCTCTCTCTTTCTCTCTCTCTCATCTATTACCTACCCGTATATATGCAATGAAAAGGTATTCTCAACACAATAGCCCCGACTACCTAAAAAAATGACTAGGAAGATGAAAAACAGTAACAATTACCCAAACTAAATGTTTATCTTATTTCCAAAGATACTGTTATCTTTCATCATTTGTGCTAATTCTTACAATACTATATAACAATAAAAATAAACAGCAATAAAATAAATAAGGAAAAAGTAAAATGAGGAATATCCACTTCTACAGAAACTAAAGTTCTTATATTTCCTTGTTATTTTCTATAATTAAAGGTTTGTATTATGATTGACAGTCTTATTTTTTTAAATATGCATAAGCTTTTAAAATTTATAATTCAAATTTTATATATACCCAAGCCTATGCATATGTATACATATAAATCAATATCATATGACTTTTTTTCTAATTTTATCCCTTTGTACAAAATATTCCAATGATTATGCCCACTGAATAATAAAATACAATGAGGAAGATGTAAAACAAAAGCTGCATTTATTTGGGTCATAAAGAGTACCATATTTCTTCTAAATAATTTTCTGATAACACAGATTTTCTGTTGTTTTATAGTGTTCAGTAGTCTCTCCTTATCGCAGGAAATATGTTCCAAGACCCCCATCAGATGCCTGAAACCGAGGATAGTACTGAATACTCTATGTACTATTTTTTTCCTATACCTACCCATAATAAGGTTTAATTTATAAATTGGGGGCATTAAACAGTTAACTATCCTATATAATAAAAGGGTAATATGCAAATTGACTGAATGGGGGGAACGACCAGTTGCTATGATGTACACTGTCCATCAGGGGACAGACGCTCAATGCAGGAGCCAGGCTCATGGCTGGTGAGCGCAGTGATGGTGGCGAGAGCCTTTCTCCCTTCCGCAGTAGTGCTAATGATGTCTGACTGACATCCCCTGAGGGCTTCTGGACTGTGAAAGGGCACAGGACCTCCCCCCACCCCCAGTGCACTAATGTCGTGCACCAGGCCTCTGGTAACTAATAATAAAATAGAACAATTATAACAATACTAGAGGCCCAGTGCACACAATTCGTGCACTTGAAGTGGGGGTCCCTCAGCCCGACCTGTGTCCTCTCACAGTCCAAGAGCCCCAAAGAGGTAGGTCCTGCCCGCCCAGCCAGGGCTCCACAATGGATCGCCCCAGCTGAGGGAAGACTCAGGCTTCCCTCACAGAGGGAGGCCCCGCTCACACATCTCAGCCTACTGGTCAGTGGCCTGGGCTTCCCTTTTTGGGGCGATTGTGGAGCCCCCCAACTGATCACCCTGCTGGCCAATGACCTGGGACTCCCTCTGCTGAGAAATCATGGGGCGATGGCGGGGTCCCCTGACCGATCGCATTGCACCTGCCTTGGCTGGCCTGGCACCAGTGGGTGTCATAGTGTGGTCATCTGGATGGTTGTTCTGCTGTTCAGCCATTTGGTGGATTTGCATTATATGCTTTTATTATTATAGATTCTGTAGTAAAAGTTATGTGAATGTAGTTCCTCTCCAGTAATTTTTTTGTTTGTTTTTCAGTCCAAACCTATTCCTGGATCTGTTTAACCAGTGCTTATTGGGCAATAAATTGCTTGCATCACCCTTTTTAGGAGATGCTTTGCTGGTCTTTTTTAAAAAAATGTGTTTTAATAATGTTATTGATTGATTGATTGATTGATTGGAGAGGAAGGGAGAGGGAGAGAAACATCAATGTGAGAGAGAAATCTGCATGGGCTGCCTCCTGCATGCAACCCAATCTGTGAACAATCCCAAAAGTTAGGTATGTGCCTTGCTAGAAATCAAACCTACACTTTTCAACTGAGCCACTGGCCAGGGCTACAGTTGTATTTCTTATATTTTATTTTCAGAGGGTGAAAAACCATGGATGTT